AAAAACAAGATTAATATTGTAGAAATTGTATTTCTAAAGATTCATATATAATTCATATTTCATTTGGTAGACAATATATATTCAGTAAGATACTAAACACGATTATTAATTCTGAAATGTGCATCAAATCTCAGCTATTATTAATCAGTATGTATTAGGTTAAAGTCTTAATAATAATTTCGAATAAGGTCTAATACACAAATAATTAAAGTTTAGGTTCCCATGATGTCAGATGACGTATTCAATATGATGCTATATTTTGGGCTCTGACTTAATTTAACGATTGTAGTAATGACAATATCTGTGCTTTTTTAGCCATGTAGTAAAAATAGTACTATTATTTTCAGTGTACAAGATGAGAGTCAAGAAGAAGTTCAGCTCCTACTTTATTTTGTAACAGGCAGCTACTATTTGTTTATACAGGCCTACTGGAAGATTCATTATTTAAGTTAGAACAAGACAACACTTCTTAAATGTTTTATATATTATAAAGAAGCACAGTACATAATTCTTTGTAAATTACTTTATATATAATAGCTTGTTTTGTTTTATAATAATAAATGTGTTGAGTATATTGATATTGATTATGCGATGAGGTGTTTTTTTTTTTTTTGTTCGGTGTGATTTAAACATGCCTTTTGTTTTTTTTTTTGTCTTTCGGTGTGATTTAAACATGCCAATTCTCAGAAAATATTTTCATATTGTATTATATTACCACCTTTTATTACATAGATCTTTTTCAAAACTTAACTGCTTTTATGACATTATATAGACCCATTAAACACAAAAACTGCTCTGGCTCCCCCTTGAAATGACCTGGCTACGGGCCTGTGATGACACGCCTGGCATGATACCTCGCCTCTGGATCGTAAGTTCTTGTGGCGAGGTAAGATCCAAGACTGTTTCATTTCGTTTTTCCTTTCTGAATTAGTGTAAATAATAAATAATAGTGTATCCCAATCTTGCTTTAATAATCATTAAGGATCAAAAGTTACTATAATAAATTCATTTTTAAATATTCGTATTAATTATGGCAAACGTTATTTTTATTTTTGATAAGATGTGTATGTATGCCTTAGTAGTTTTTAAAATAGTTTTAGCAATTTTAGTATCATCCAATCTTAGTTTAGATTATTTTACATTGATTTAATTAATGATCATGTTCAAATTGATGATAACGGAACTTACTTATCACGGTTACATTAACATTAATGCTTAATGGCGCAATCGTCTTGTTTGTAGATTCGCAAGTGTATACACCGTTGATTTTATTAGCTGTAACATTCTTCAGATGGTGTATTGAATTTACTGGTCTATAATAATGGGATAAAATGAGTATTAATACAAACAAGATACACAGTAGAGAAACAAGACCACTAATTTTTATTCATTTTTATACAACATATACATCCAGTTCTCACAGGCATAGGACGGTGGTATACACACTATGGAGTGACTGCTCTAGTTTATTGTTTTTGCACTTCCAAGTAGGCCTACATTAATATATTATTGTTGTACTTCCAAACACAACAATAATGTATTATTGTTGTACTTATACCAAATAGAATAATTTATTATTGTTGTACAGTACTTCCAAACACAACAATAATGTATTATTATTGTACTTCAGTAAAGGAAGCCGTAACAAATCATCTTCAGTGGCGGATCGAAGAATTTGAAATAGAGGAGGGACTTTGAGAGATGGAAGGTCTATACCACCTCAGCCTCACCATGGTTGGGGCTGAGGTAAGAACATTTACGATTAGCGGAAATGGCAATCTCAGACTTAAAATTTGAATGTAATTTTCTTTTTTTCTTTTTTCTTCAAATATTTTTACAATTTTGAAAAATTTAGGGGTGGGTGTGGGGTGGGCGCTAGGCCTCCCCTTGAATCTGCCACTGTTCTTCAAGATTGAACAAATCTACAGTTCTAATAAGATTCATTACATACGCACACTCATTAAGCTGTCTGTGTTACTAAATACTTTTTTTAATTATCATTCCAAACAATATATTAAAGTATCGGAATGCGTCATTAACTTATTGATCATTAAAAAAACATACCGTTAAGTAAATAAAGATATCATCATCACCATAATCAACATCATCGCCACCATCATCCCCATCATAAATATCAACTTCTTTATCACCATCAACAGTATCAGCATCATCATCGTCGTTGACGTAGTCGTCATTACCATTATTATCATTGTCATGATTATCATCATCATCAACATCATATTATCGTCATTATTATCGTCACTGAAGTAATAGCAGTCATAAGCAATCCAAAGACGGTAGTTTTTTATGTCACGTAATCAATGTTGCACTCAAACGACCCCTTTCTTTATTTTATGGGAGAGCTATACTGCCGTAATTTGGAAAAAGGCTTTAACTCCACTTTTTGAGATTTTTGGATTTTTGTTTCTATGGCATCCTATAAATGTCCAGAAATATGAATGCAGAATAATTTGGAAGAAGGCATTATCTCCACCAAGCAATGAACTGATCATAATGAACCAATAACAAAAGACAATTACGCATAGTTAATTAGTCATGATAGCTTGTAAATGCACAAAATGCCTAGCTTTACTTCGGTTTAAAAAAATGGCATATTAAAGAATCTTCTACCACTAATGAGCGAGAATAGAAAAGCCTTTTGGAGGAACATGCCTGTTGGAGATTTCGCTGATTTGATAGATAATTGAGTGAAAAATCAGGCCAATAATCGCAATAAAATACAGAAAATATCATTATATTGAACGCTGATAAAAGTTATAAAATCATAATAAAAATAAAGAAAAGAATATTTCATTATCTTCAATCCTGTTAAAGTAATAAAATCACAAAATATTAAGAAAGGAATATTTCATTATCTTCCATGCTGGTAAAATGATGTTGACAAATAAAAGAGAAAACCTAAAATTCGTCTAACTTTGATTCATTTAGATTCTATTTATCTACCACACCATTTTATAGAATCTCTCATTTACCTCACCGAATTTTGTCTTTAATTTCGAATAATAGCATAAAAAAGTATAATTTTTGTATTTGGGCATTTTTTACATGATTCGAAATATATGAAGATTCGAAATATGTAACCTCGCGTTTGTAAAATAGAAGTCTGTAAATTTAGTATACGTAAATTAGAGGTTCTACTAAGTATATTAATATTATTCTTCATAATATAACCATCATATATCAATATCATTGTATTCTGATTGAATATAAAAATGATAGCAGCTTAATTTGAACAATAATATTAATTTTATCAATTTTTATACGTGTCAATACAATGACGACTCCTAAATTGATTATAAGTTTATACTATAATATTAATTTTAACTTTTACATGGACTAAATTTCGTGAAATATATAATTGACACTGGCATACATTATTTGTTTGTCAGAAATACTGTAATTTGGCTACGTAAGATACACATTTCACTGGAAAAACTGGAGTTAATGCCTAACTTCAGATTTTTCACGCACCATTGACTCCTGTTAAAATTCGGAATAGTGCATTATCTCCATTTATATAGGGTTAAAAAACAAAAATAACCATGAAAATTATTTAATATGTTTTTTAAATATATGTTTAGTATATTTGCCAAAAAAAATTTACTAGAATTCATTTCCAGTACAAAAGGCTAACGACAAACGCGTTTTGCTCAATAACTCAAAACTAGGATTTTGGAGTTAATGCATTTTTCCAAATCACGGCAGTATAATTCGGAACACTTACTGAGGCAAATAACTTTCTGGAATAGTCGTTGTGTTGACATCTAACTTTTTCCCAGCCTTTATCCATTGTAGGTCGGCGTGGGCAATGCCATGAGAAGTACAAACTAGCTCATAATCTGACCCCCAAACAAGGTATACATCATCTGGTGGCCTCACGTCCAAAACCGGACTGACTGTTGGTCCATAATATTGAATTTGAAAACAATTGTATGTTCAAACATGGAAGTTCCAATTAAGTTTGCTAAGCGTACTACTACTGATGCAATATTCAAAGCTATAGTTTTACAATTACTATTGCTAACAACGATTTAAATTGAAACCCTACAGAACTTATATCGATGACATGCAGGATTAAACAATGGAAGATTTAACTTTAAATGCATATACAAAGTACGGTAAGTCTTGAGGTTTCGTGTCATGTATTGAAAGCATATTATTGCAAATGTTACATGCACAGAATATTGGAAATGAGAGATAAAGTAAGCGCCATAACACCATATACAAGAAAGAATAACTTACGTTTATCACATGTTTTACCCTCTAGGCCCCTCGGACACAAACATTCACCACTGAAGCTGTGACACTGGACCCCGGCCTTACACGTACATGTTCCATTGCAATTCAAGCCGAATTTTTGTGGCGGACAACCTACAGCAAACATAATGTTTGTAGGCAAAGTCACAAATTGTATGTAGCCCTGATCCTTTGTAAGCATAATGCCTTTTATGGATCATCATAAAATTTAGTGGAATTGTACATAATAATCAAAGAAAGACACCATTCAAATTTCGGAAGAAAAGGTCAAAGACCAATGTCACCTCGGTCAGTACGCCAGGGGGCCAAGAATTAGAAGGGCTACACCCAATGGGCTGGGACTGAGTATAAAATAAGGATGTAGCAACTGTATATATATATATGTCTCATTATTTTGTTTTTATTTTTTCATATCCAACTATCAATTTGATTTTTACAGTGGGCCAAACATTTAGCAAGGAGCATGGCCCTCTGGCCTACTTAGCTATGGGGCTGTGTGAGAGCCATTATGGGGCATCTAGGGGTGCATATTCTTAAAATTGCTAACCATGGTGTGTCTTAGGTGGGTGTTGCTCCTTGTCGGAGAAGATGGAACTCGTCGGGAAATATATTTTCTCAATGCTATAACATCTACCTGATCATGTAAACATAGTTAAATAATTACCTAAAACTTGGATATTGAAAGATCCAGTTCCAACATTTGTATTTTCTATTTGTTTTAGCATCAGAGAACAGCTTCCAACAATATGCTCCATCGCAAAAAGATTTTCAAAATAAAACTGAATTACCAAATCGTCAAACCAATCCGGTAAGTCATGCTTTGGTAACACGGGCCCTTCTGAAATATACCAACGTAAATTATGTGAGTGATACCTAAACTATTGTTTAGTTTGAGATGTTATTTCCTGTCGCACTTTATCCAAAATTTTAATAAATCAATTAAAAAATAAATATTACAATAGGCCTATGTGACAACAAGCGCCACTGATAATTACTTCGGTTTTTCAAATGGCGCTATATAAGTTCTTACTTTATTATTATTATTATTATTATTAACAATAATGATAACAATTTAGGCCTGCTAAACAAGTAAGGGAATAGAAAATTACTATATTCATTTTAAGAAAGTATTTGAATCTAAATCAGGTGATGCTGTTGATGATCAAAATAGTGGTGACGTAATGATGGTGGTATGATGATGATGATTATGATGATGGTGGTGGTGATGATGGTTATGATTGATGATTATGCCCGTTATGGTGATGGTACTATTGGTACTAGCGGTGATGGTTGTGACGGTGTTGATGATTTGTGGTGATAATGGGGAAAATTGTATGATGATGATGACGATGGTAGTGACTGGTTATAAAGATGGCAATGCATCCTGAATCAGCATTCCAAATAGTATGTCTTTGTTACTAAAGATAATGCTAGTTAAGAGATACATAAAACATTGATTGGTCGTAATAAACATTTTTAAACATAGTTAAAGCCTAATGGGAACATAAAACTAAGATAAAAAAAAAAAACCAAACCACGTACCGGTATCGTTTACCGGGAGATTTCCAACGCGTACTATCGCTGAATACGGAACGCTTGTTTGAATTAATGGATCAGAAATCTTGCACTGCATTGAAAGATAGTGGATCGCTTCGGAAAAGGATTCCGATAGAGTTACATTTTTAACGTTCATATAGATGCTTAGAGTACCTGTAATTATTAAAAGTTTCTTTTCATGGATACGGTAAATATGATAGACGCTACAACAACTAGCCTAATACTCTACTAGCCTACTATTAGAGTTCCACTGCTGCTATAGATTCAGTGCTACAGCACTACCTAAGAGCTGTTTCCTTGTGCTACTACTAGCGAACTACCGCTGTGCTGCTATTACTGTTACAGCTTCAAACATGCTATGTCTAGTACATGCATTTTTATACCGTTAACTTAACATGACAATATTATATAAAGTTATGTAATGCTCAGACATATTTTCAAAATGTCAAGAAAATATCAAGTATCGGTATATGAAGATGAAAAACTTTTTTGAGTACGAATGAATTCTCACATGGTTGATCAATGAAATACAGCACATCAAAGCTATTCTGGGTTGCTCCAAGATATTGGTTTAGTGTTGTTATGTTGACATCAGCATATATCAAGGCAGTATTCTTAAAAAAAAAACATCAATTATTTAAAGGTCATTGCATACAACTAACTAATTGATTAAATATGTTTATGTTTGATAATGAAAACAGATTTTGATGAGACGAGGCATGGTATTCGTGCAGTCCTGAGTAGACTTGCTCCGAGCTCCAAGTCTATGTCTTCTTTTCTATTGTACAGTTCCTGTACGGTGCAAGATGTTATTTGTTATCAAATTGAAAATCATGTGTACATTACATCGAATTGCTGAGAGTGAGCGTAAATTGAAAAAAACAGAAAAAAATGACTGCACAATTAAAAGTGGGAAATTATACCAACAAGTACCGTCTTTATGTTTTTTGTTCATCACTGTGTTTCCTCAGTAATAGTATCCAGTGCATACTTAATATTACGTCTTTAATAAAAAGTCGACGTACTAGTATTTTTTAGGAAACGAGGTCACATAAATGCATAATATTGAACGGCTTTTTCAAATTGATGAGAGGCTTGGATTGTTTGCAAGGCGATTTGAACAAGCAAAAAAAAAAAAGCCTTGTGCAGTTTTTAACCGCGTAAACAACATGCTAATTGTGCAAGAACGTTTGTGGTCAGCAGATAGTTTTGCAATCTTTCAAACTAAGTATGTAAATTCGTCCCTATTTTGTTTAGACTTTTTCGCCAGTGGCCTGATATTATTCGTTTTGTACATTGTTAACAACCGGTTATTCGCAAATACATATTTAATTGTAGCTATCCATTATATTATAGCATATTATTACTTTAAAAAATACTTACAATTTTGCTATGTTGTATGTATAATTGCAACCTACCTCCGATTGAATGTTAACCCGTTGCCGGTGACAGTAGTCATGGGCTGAAGAACATGTATAGATGATTGCCACCAAAATGATAGCAAACATTAATTTCGGGACTTGCATTGTATACTGTGATACCAGTTACTGACAACGAATGTTTGAAACGTACTTGGAAACCAAATGTGAACAGAACAGCCCGGAATTATGGAACGCCGTTCAAGCAACAATTCGATGATGAATTAAGTGAATCGTCGATGATGAATCAAGTGATTCGTCGATGATGAATCAAGTGATTCGTCGATGATGAATCAAGTGATTCGTCGATGATGAATCAAGTGATTCGTCGACATGATGAATCAAGTGATTCCACGATGAATCAAGTGATTCGATGATGAATCAAGTGATTCGTCGATGAATCAAGCGATTCGTCGATGAATCAAATGATTCGTCGATGACGAAACAAGTGAATCGACGATAAATTGCTGAATCCCAAAAGAAGGTAGCTTAGGCCTAGCTATGCTAGACTAGGCTTAGGCTCAAAGAGCTGGAAGCATAGGCATAGGCTAGTGAAGCACTAAAGAAGTGGCTTAACGAGGCGTGTTAACTAAAAATGGCTAAGGTTGGAAGACCGTGTAAATTAGATAAAGATATTAAGCGATTCAGGTCAACTCGGCTACAAGTCAACTCGGCCACAGGCAAGTCGGCCGCAAGTCAACTCGGCCACATGTCAACTCGGCCACAAATTAACTCGGCCACAAAAAGTTCGGCTACAGCCAACTTGGCTACAAGTCAACTCGGCCACAAGTTTTTTTATAATTAAAATGAAATGTATATCTCAGATTTTGCATCCTTTTTCTTCAATATGATTGAAATGAAGTACACAGCATATTTTAGTAAAACAGGACCACACCAAAAGAGATTTGAATGCTATTGCCTACGAATTAAAAAGAGTTATTTATAAATGTGTTCGTCTTCTGTTTACTCACAACATTTTACTTCAACAATAATATTAAACAACAATAACGACAATAAATTAGCAATATTTACTTTAATAATACTAATTATTTTACGTCGGGAATAATAGTAATAATACTAATTATTTTACGTCGGGAATAATAGTAATAATACTAGCATGGTAATAACGATATTTAAATATCTCATTAGTGATAATAACGATATTGAAGGTGATAATAGCAATAATACAACAATAATAAATTAAAGATAATGTTTATTTTTATAATAATAGTTATAATACTAATTAGTTATAATAATAATAATAATGATACTTATAATACTAGGCCTACTTAGTAATAATAGGGTAATAATATCGATAATAAAGGTGACAACAACAACAACAACAATATTAAAAATGATATTAATAATACGATGAGAAAAATACCATTAAAACACCAATAACAATAACTTTTTAAATTACTGTTATTAAAATAATAATACTAAGACTAATAAATAATAATAATAATAATAATAAAAATAATAAAAAAATATTTATAAATTATATGGTAATAATAATATCAGCAAATATTTGAACAATATATAATGTTAATGCTAAGACTAATAATTAATAATAAAACTAACGGTAATAAAAACAACAATAATAATAACAACAATGCCAACAATAATAACAGCAATAATAATAATAATAATAATAATAATAATAATAATAATAATAATAATAATTTATAATTATAATAATATTTAAAATTCCTATATGATCTAATAAATATTGTAATAACAATTCTTATTGGATCTTTAAAATTTACAATAAAAATTCTTATAAGATCTTATAAGATATTGGGCCAATTTCCAACAGAGTCACATAGAATTTTCTATAGCAATTGAAATAAGAATTACAATATGAATCATATACATTTTTCTAATGATTCACTTGATTCATCATCGACGATACACTTGATTCATCATCGTCGAATCACTTGATTCATCATCGACGAATCACTTGATTCATCATCGACGAATCACTTGATTCATCATCGAATCACTTGATTCATCATCGACGAATCACTTGATTCATCATCGACGAATCACTTGATTCATCAACGAATCACTTGATGCATGATCGACGAATCACTTGATTCATCATCGACGAATCACTTGATTCATCATCGAATCACTTTATTGATTCATCATCGACGAATCACTTGATTCATCATCGAATCACTTGATTCATCATCGAATCACTTGATTCATCGACGAATCACTTGATTCATCGTCGAATCACTTGATTCATCATCGAATCACTTGATTCATCATCGACGAATCACTTGATTCATCGACGAATCACTTGATTCATCATTGACGAATCACTTGATTCACCATCGACGAATCACTTGATTCATCATCGAATCTCTTGATTCATCATCGACGAATCACGTGATTCATCATCGACGAATCACTTGATTCATCATCGACGATTCACTTGATTCATCATCGAATTGTTGCTTGAACGGCGTTCCATATTATGGAATAGATTAGATGAGGAAATAAACGGCTTATAATAATCGGCCTATCCTACACCTCTCAGTCTGCATGAACCTACTGCTACCTGAGCATATTATAACGCAGAACATTAGAGCCTGAGAGAATGATATACTCAGTAGCTGTGTTTTCTATGCTTATAAGTTTCTCTTGTATTTTAAGTGTAGTTACAAGCTTAACCTATGATTTATCATGCTTTCGAGAAAGCCCGTCGGATCCGAAACATGTAAGTAGTGACTACTAAAATCTCGTCAAATCTGCTATTTTTAGACTTATTTACTGACCTGAAAGCAAATGACCAGGCCTACTGGTTTAAGAACACAGGGATTCCAAGCCTCCCGCAACATGTAATCATTGCTAATTGGTGATTCGTCTGCCAAACATTAAAAAAAAACTTCCTTTCACTGATAAAAAAGATGGGTGCGTTTTTCTATCCGTAATTGCGGATAGAACTGCGATTTAGAGCTAAAATTTATTTATAGACAGGATAGGCCTAAAAACGTATCACATAAAACACACATTTAATATATGAATTAATTTGTTTTTAATAAATTTGGTTTTTCTTTTAAAATTTGCAATAAAGGGGGGGTGATAATTGATGTTTTAACTTTTTTTTTTTTAGATCAACAGTTTAGCTACCGTAGACATTGACTACACTAACCTAGAAGTCCCACCACAACCTGTTCTTCAAGCTCATTATGTGGATGGAATGTGTGAGCGATACACTAGGTTTTTTTAAATACGTTTATGCGTTTTCTACCTTCATATTTCGTTGATTATTGGTTTCACTACTAAATTTATTTATTATAAAATTAATCGGAAATTTATTGACTTCTTGTAGTCCTAGACGTAGGCCTCCTGCGTATATCCGTAACCTGTAACTTGTAATATAACATATCAGTATGATATGCCCTCATCAGTGCCGTAGCCAGCCATCGGGACAGTTGAGACAGTCCCACACAAATTTTTAATGGGTCCACAAAGAGTGGGTCCACATTTTTATAAATGGGTTCAAATTATGTAATGTTCATTTTTTGGAAAATGGTTCCAGATTTCCCATTTTAGCCTAAAATATATAGAATTTTAAGAAAATGAGCCCATTTTAAAAATATTTTTGCGTAAAATTGGTTAACTTTTAAGAAAATGGGTCCACATTATTTAAATTTACGCGTAAAATGGATCCACCTTGATATTGTCCCGCCCGCACTGTTCGAAAATTCTGGCTACGACATTGGCCCTCATAAACACTTTATACGATGTATAAAAATCCATTATACACCAGTATATAGATATAAATATGTACATGTACAAACAAGATAAATTTGTTCTTATTCGAGCACTCTTATTATTTATCTATTTGATGAAGGGTTATGCTTGATTCAATTAAATTGAATTATTTATTCGTTCAAAAAATTCAAAGAGGAACAAGGACGAAAACAGAGAAATGGAAAGACGTTTAAAACTATAAAAAGATCTTGAGAAAATTGTTTATCAAACAATATGCTTAAGAATACGATTATTATAGCATCATGTTCCTATTCTAGCACTGTTATAATAATAGTATTATTACTGTTATTTATCTATTTGTTTGTATCGTGTTTACGGTGCTACGCAGCAAACTTTAATAGAATTTACTATGTATACCTGTATATTGATATTCGTGGAACACATTGTATTTCTGTAGGTGGTATCCATGTTTTCCTGTACATCCCAAGCGGTTACGTGTTCCTACAGTATTTTCTCAACAAATCTCCATTACAAGTTGATTGTGAATGGCAGGACCAAAAGATTAAATCTTCGCTTCCTGAGTTTACTTTGACGTCACTTGGTCACAGTGGTATGTTTCAATAAGTCCCCTAGAAGTTTAAATCATTAGGCCTATCTGAATCTACGTCTTTATATGGACGTACACTTACCTAAAAGTTTCACCTTGCATCGACCACCAACAAACAATAACGTGCCCCTTCTGGGTTTAGAGTAATTAATTCATTAAATGTGACTAGTTTTCTTTTGAATTTCTTTTTACTTATTAAAAATTCCCTGAAAATGGCGGTAAATGCTCGTCGATGGTAAAAGCACGTTCCTATATTGTTTCGACCTCTAGAATTGATATTAGTATTAGTAGTGGTATCTTTCTTTTTCTTTTTTTAAATTCCAGAATTGCATATTATTAGAGGAACAATTATTAAATGATGTCAGTGTAGGAGAAAGGAAATTAAACAAGAGTGGAAGGCAATTGGGATGGGAATGTTTCAAACCATTAAGATTTTTGCAAAATAATAAATACAAATAATTTTTATTTAATAGTTCTACAAGATACAGTCAAATTGTTGTTGCAAGTTATTTCAATGTCTGATTAGGATTTTTTCGTAGTAGTAAAATGCGACGTAGCTGCAAAAGCATGCCATTACGCCTATGGGAACCACAGTTGATCTATATATTTCCATAATGTATAGCTAAAGTAGTAAATATTTGTTTGGTTGATATTTTTTCTTGTAGAATTCATCGATGAGCCTTTTCGTGAGGAGGTACCCTTTGACTTGCCATGGGATAACGGCATGATTGTGCACACATTCTTCCCCCATCTTGTCGTTGAGGGCAGCATTACAGGAATATGCACTGCTGCTCTTTTTTCAATACTTGGCGGATACAATGCAACACCGAAAGTGTCTTATACCATAGAAATTAATGGTATGTATTATTATTAATATCATATTGGAAATATTAGGCCTATATGCAAAGTGCGTATGACCGTGTGTAAGTTTCAGTGGTGAACTTCAAAGACATCAAACAGAATATGTACCGCGCAGCCTGGCAGTGAAGAGGGAACCACTCCATGAAACATGTACGAGAGTAGCGCACAAGGGTAATATTTTACATTTCTTTGGTATAGGTGTGAAAACTAGTGTGGATAAGAGAAATTAATGCCCTTAAAGATTATTTTTAGTTTTACCATTAATTAATGTCATATCTAGCCTATTGTTGTGAAGGTAATAACATGTCAAAAACTACAGCTCCAATATAATGTAATATACTAAAGAGATAAAAAATAGGAATGAAACGTCACCGAATGTTGAAAAAGAAAATTTTAAAAGAAAAAGTAAAGTTCAGGTAAAGGTGAAGTATATATAATTATGTGCAACATCAGCAACTGACAGGTCAATAAAATTATATGAAGCCTACTCAAAACAAAAAGAGGACTATTTTTAAGCTATATTATTAATTCCCAACAAACGGTTTTAAGGGGAAATGAGCAACATATCATAATTATATCAATGAAATGCAACACCCAGGAGCTTGCTTCCACGCCATCTAATCAAAGATAGAGTTTTAAAAAAAAATCATCATTCGTGTTAGAAATACGTCGGTGATAAAGAGAAATGTGAAGCTATTTAGGCATGCAAATGGTAGATATGCGTCATTGATAAATTTACATATGTGTTGTTATAATTTAACTCTCAACACTTCCAGAATGATTTGTTAAGGAGGTCTGTTAGTGATCATGACAGCCAGTTAGGGCCACATCACCGGTTTGTAATAATTGAATTGATTTAGTAAAGTTTTCATCTAATGCCCAGTCCAAACAAATTTATTTTATTTTATTTTATTTCCAACATCATCCAACAGCAAAAAGCCAATTACAGGATGTCTTAAATAGGATACTGTACATATTATAAATATAAAAAAATTACAAAATTTACAAAAAATATTGCGAAGAACATCTAAAAAAAGTACAGAAAAATACACAAAATATATTTTTAAAAACATACAAATGCAAAACAAGTGAATAATTAATTAATTAAATTACATTATGAAATGAATTGATAAAATTTACAAAATTTTGCAAGAGGAACATCTTAAGCTAAAAATTGCAGATAAAATATTCAGATAAAAATACAAATAAATATAAGTAAACATACAAATACAGACAAAACACAGAACACAGGTCCAACAGAAACACACAGACAGAACAGAGCAATCAAAAACATAGCCAGACAAAACAGAAAAGAAAAAAACACATAAAAATACAGACAAACACAGAACAAAGGTGAGAAAAAAAAGAATGCACAAACACACACACAAGACAAAACAATCAAAAACAAAGAAAAGCCCAAGGAGCAAAGAAAAAAGAATTAAGGAATTAACCCACCCAGAAAATAAGTCACTTTGTATTATGAAGTAAAGATTGCGATAAGCTGCTTTTGAATGAACAAAGGCTCTGGTGAAAAATATCGATTAACGCAAAAATTGTGAGAAAGGTTATTAAAAAAGTGGGCAAGACGATGAATAAAACCATTTTAGTGCAATTGACTCTGTTAAAGGGAACCAAAAATAGGTCATTACGACGGGAGCCGGGTCTATTAATCTTAAGAGGGAATAAAGAATATAAAGTAGTATCAAAAAATAGAATTAACACATTTAAAAAGAAAAACCATATTAAATATATTTCTCCTTTCACTAAGTGAGGGAAGAGTGTATGAAACAATATCGTCATTTTTAAAATTGTAATTTATAAAATATAAAAATTTTGACTGGACTCTCTCAATCCGATGAGCTTGTAAGACAGAAATAGAATTATAAATAACACTGGAATAATCAAAAATATGTCTAACTTAAGAAATGTATAGATGCAATTTGGTTTTTTGGTCGAGGGTTTTACAATGACGCCAAAATACTCCGAGCAACCGATTGCCTTTGCTTTACTGAAATTAAGTTTTGAACCCAAAAGGGTACCAAGATCTTTTTGTACATAAACTCTGCTAATACAAGTACCATTAAGGTTTATAATTAAAAATAAAAGGGGATTTTTTAAGAGTAATTGTCATTACGACACATTTAGTGCAATTGAGAGAGATATTCCAATCAGCAGACCATTTACATAGCCTATTAAGATCCTCTTGAAAGGCTAAGGCATGATTTATATTCGTGACCCTGTGGAACAGCTTCAAGTCATCAGCAAACATTAAACAATGTGAATTTTGAAAAATAGAAGGGGCATCATTAATGTACATATTAAACAAATATATACATATTAAACGGGCCTAAAATTGAACCCTGAGGCACTCCCAATGTGACAGGCAACCACTCCGATGCAACACCTTTATAATTAACCCTCTGTTTTCTGTTCTGTAGATAGTTTTGTAACCAAGATAATAAGGAGCCACGAATCCCAAACTTCATAGCCTTGTGAACTAGGAGGTCATGACAGACAGAATCAAAGGCCTTAGAGTAGTCAGTGTACAATACGTCTCACTGACTTTTCTCATCAATGGTGGTATAGGCATAATGATAACATAGTTGCCAAATTTGCCAGACATGACCTCCCAGGGACAAAGCCATGTTGCTTAGAGACAGAACGGGTGCAACATGATTGTAAATACTTTAAAAAAATATTTTCCCAAAATTTTGGAAAGGGTTGGCAAAATTGAAATAGGACAAAATTTACAACAGAATCGCGTGTTCCACCCTTATGGATTGGGCAGATATTAGCACGCTTCCAAGCAGAAGGGAACACACCAGAGGAAACAGAGAGCTGAAAATGTGGGGAAGAGGTGCAGACAAAGACTTAGCATAATATTTAAGAACTTTGTTACTTAGCCTGTCACATTCGGATGCCTTATAGGGTTGAATAGCTTGAAGAAGCTATTCCACACTTGAACAGTTGACAACAAATCAACTGGATAATCTCTAAGCTCGGGATAGGAGAAAAATTTTTCATTTTTAAACACAGAGTGAAAATACGGATTGAAAAGATTAAATTTTGCACTGTCCGTATATGCATCACATGCTCCGTACGAAATCTTAGAGGGAGGAGGAGCTTGTTTATAACTAGCCTTCAACAAAGACCAGAACATTTTAGGATTCTCATTGAGTTTAAAAGAAATCGATGAAAGATATGATAAATATTTTTCTTTTGCCAAGTGTTTAAATATCCTACGAGCACTCCTAAAATCATCCTTATGAAAAGGAGTATTCCGTTCTTTCAATATTCTCCTTTTGTGTTCTTTAAGTTTCAATGCAGCTCGTAAGGACTTATCGAACCAAGGGGGAAGGCGTTTTTTAGGAGTGATCGTAGGAACATTATCCTTAATAGCGGCATGAACAACAGAACAAAAATTTTCAAGAGCATCGTCAACATCAACATTTGATTATACATTATTATTGGTTAAAAGTATTGCTTAATTCAAGCCAATCGGTTTTAGAAAAATTAAAAACAGGTCTACTGTATAATTTTTTGTTTGCAAGGATTCATAAATTCAAGTTCAATATGAAGTAAATCATGGTCCGAGTTGAAAATATCATCGCCAACAGAAACTCTGCAATTACGATAGGGATTATCACATAAAACAAGATCCAAAATATTATTTCCCCTAGTTTTTAAATAATTATGGTGAACAAAGGAAAAACTGTTTAAAATAAGGTCTTTGAAGGAGACATTGATTACATCGCTATTTAAACATGTATGACCACCATCAGAATGCCAAATAAAATCTGGCAAATTAAAATCGCCAATAAGAATTATATCCGAGGATGATGGTACAGTGGTACAACTGAACTAATGATCTATTAATCTAATTATGGTGAACAAAGGAAAAACTGTTTAAAATAAGGTCTTTGAAGGAGACATTGATTACATCGCTATTTAAACATGTATGACCACCATCGGAATGCCAAATAAAATCTGGCAAATTAAAATCGCCAATAAGAATTATATCCGAGGATGATGGTACAGTGGTACAACTGAACTAATGATCTATGGAGAAGTTCAAGATATCACACTTGGAATTTGGCGGTCGATAGTAATAATCCAATTATAGATTTTTTAGTATTCGAAGCCCTGAGTTCAATCCATAAGAGTTCATTGCCAGGAATATCATATTCAAATAATCTTACAACGATATTTTTCAGAAACCAGGAACATCAATCCACCATCACGTTTGTTGTTCTGACGGTCCAAGCGATATAGAGCATAGTTAGGAAAGGCAAGTTCGGCGTCATCCACGTATTTGTTTAACCATGTCTCGCAAAGTGCTACAATATCATACTTGTCATTTACTATATTTGCCATTAAAACTGACCTGTAGTCACCCACCATATTTTTAACACTGTGGACATTTTGATAGTAAACAGCAAGGCAACGTTGTTCTTCAGGGCCCGGACTTATTTCGATGTCGCCACTAAGCACAATTAATTCGCGTAAACAGGCCACATGATTTGAATAATAAGGTATAGCTCGTCCACGGTTTCTTGTATTAAACTTCAAAGTAATGAGCGACTTTCTACTCACAAACAAAAACTGGGTACACCGTAGGCCTGACCAAGGCCTAAGCCCTGGCCATTTGTTTGCCGTAGCCATAGCTGGAATACACGTGTGATCAGGGTTGAAAGTCACGTAGCATCTAGTTGCAGTGGGCTGGGTAATGTAATAGTTGTGGCTAAGACCAATAACAGCAATTTGAGGACAAATAATATAGCAAAATTCACCAAAAAAAAAAACTCTCTACATCTTCTAGGTTGTTTAAACGACGAGGTACAACAAAACAGATACACATAAGTAATCAAAAACGCAGAAAATAAAGCCATTTTTAAGGACACTGGCAGGAGAACACAGTATGTCGTGAATAGCCAATTGAATGAATTTAAATTATATTTGACAAAAACATAAATATCACATCATGACCATATATAGACACATCATGACTATACACGGACATAAAATACAGCTTTTTGTCAAAGACAATTTGATAGTGTGGAAAGAGCTTTGGGCTTGGCATGTTTTCCCGCATGGTAGGCCCCTATTTCTGTTGTAGTTGACAGACCACTGCATTATCTGCTGATTTTGCGTCACCATAATAACACAACTTTTTGTTGTTTCAACAATAGGATGTCCACTAGGTAGGTATGGAGCGAGATGTAGTAACCAATGCAACTGCACACAAAACATTCAATGTCACAGTTTCAACGGGGCATGCATATGCCCAAAGGGATTCGCTGGAGACTACTGTGAGAAACGTACGTTCAAATTGTTTTACGACATTACCGGTAACGCCTTATATTTCAGTGAATTGAATACTTAGTATAGGCATTGTTCTTGTGGATCTTTTCGTCCCTATTTCATCAATCTACTCTCCTTTATAAATATACATTATAGGCCTACTGCATTTATCTTTCGGAAGACACATTTTAACCATTACCATCGTGTACACAGACCGTGTATCACATCATATATAGACTATCTGCACTTTAAAGAACACAGTTTCTTCACTATTTATTAAACAGGGTGTTGACTTCAGATGTACTGTCCAATTGGAGCTGTACTGCTCCTGAAGCGGATCCCCATTGAGTATTTAATTTAAAACGCCTCGAGGTTATTTTCGATCGTTCAGAATAAAGAAAATTCCTGGGGCCATACCCCCGGACCCCCTAGGGTAGTGTTTTCTTTTCGGATCCCCTGTCCCAAAACTGTAAGAGTATAACAGGAGGGGTCTTTTTTTTACATTTGCAGTCGATCCATATCTGGAAATTGGTGTTGAGAGTTTGTACATTAAATGGGGAACACCTCTAACAGTGAACTGCACAGCATATGGATTCACACAAACAAACTTACCAATTATATGGAAGCGAAATAATACAGTTTTAAAAAATACTACAAGACGATATCTCTCTGTAGCTTATGCCCCAAGGTAATTTCTTTTCCAGTTATCAAGATTCAAAAATATTATGTGTAAATGTAAAACTATTTACAGTCATTTATATAGGCCTCCAGGTATTATGTAATGCGACTTATACAGTTATTTTTATGTAGGCCCATTACTTTTTTAAATATAAGTTTGTATTTAGAAACATAGACTTAGAACGTGTGCTATTGTGAGCAAAGGTATAATCGACTCTAAACTGATCGGCGCTAAACTTCGTAAATTTAAAGCCAGGCACTCACAGTGCGGCCGACTGTTGTCGAACAAAATGCCACGACGCACGCTCAACGGATTGTATTGGCGATCCGTTCAGACCGTCACCGACAATCAGCAGATGGCGTCACTTCGTCGTACGATCGTCGAACGACGCATTGAGCAACCGGCTTTACACTTTCGATTAGACGAAGGAATGAAAGACTGTATATGAATTATATAAAGCTACACAATCATTTCTCTGGATCTATTCGCATGTCAATAAGGCTTTGTATATGTAATATATGTTAATTATGAAGACAATAGGCATTATTATATAATATTTTTATTTACAACTTTCGCATTGTACATTTTCCAGACCGGTTCAATTGGTTTATCATATAAACAAAGTGACAGAATACGACAATGACGTTTACCAGTGCGTTGCTAATCAGACGATAATTCGAGAAGTCAATATTATAGTTTATGGTAAGAATACATTTAGCTTAGGATGAGTATATCCTGGTGATATATATATTGAACTTTACTTACTGTATAAAAATCTAAATGGCGTTTTTTGTTCTCTTCTTAGATCTTCCGAATCCATTTACAAAATTCCCTACGAATCAAACGGTATTTTACGGATCAAATATTACACTAACATGTCAAGTTCGTGCACGCGCAGGAACAGTTAAGTGGACGCGAAATACTACTTCCGTTATTGATGGCACTGTCATTCGAAACAACACTGGAAACTTCACAATTTACTTAAACCCCATAACTGGTGAATCAACACTGACTAAAATTCATGCTAATATTGATGACGAGGCTGTTTATAGGTGTTTTGTTGGTCATACGTTCGAAGAAGACGACATTACATTTGCTGAATCATATGTAACAATTGTTGTACCGCCTTCTGAGGAATATCCCATGATAGAGTTAGATGGCAGTACATTAGTTGTGAAAGAAGATGCCTTGGTCAGTGTGACTTGTGTGGTATATAAGGTCAGACCTATTCCTGAACTGAAGTGGAAATTAGGAGGCGAGGAATTAAATAATTCTCGACAAAATTTACAGTTAATAGAAACAGATTCACTGTTCGAAATAAGAAACACCATCACGTTTCCTGTAAACCGAGAAGATAATTTGAAATACCTGACATGTAGAGCAAAAAGCAATGAATTTGGTGACGCAGAGAAATCGATGCGGTTGAATGTGACATGTAAGTTTTTGGGTTTGTAATATTATCAGATTTTTTCTCGGGTTCTTCTACCTTTGGTTGATATTGTTTTAACCTAGAGGGCTGAAAGTATGTTGAGTACAATTGCTTCAATCATCTTCTTATATAGGACGGACTTAAGAAAATGTAATGACAGACCCATTATTTTGAACTTACAACACTTAAATATTTCGTATTATTTTAGATAAACCTGTAGTAAAATTTCAGCCGAATTATGTCGATATACTAGAAGGGAATAGAATGCAAGTCCAGTGTATTGGTTCAAGTAATCCCACTCCCATCACATACCGTTGGGAGTGTTCAAAACCTAACGGTGACGTCATAGTAACAGATGAGCAGACACTCAGTATCCCAGATGTTTCGACTGATTTTGACCAGTCCAATCTTCGTTGCTTTGCAAGCAATAATATCGGTACAGGATCTGCAATATTAAAGGCGAACGTGCGTAGTAAGTGGCTCATATTATGTACATTTTGATTATCACTATTAGTTTTATAATTATTAACATTATTATTATCATCAACACATTGTCTTTTGCCATCATGATCGTTATTGTCATCGAGATAGTCATTCTTTTGTTAGTGTAAGTCTTCTCACATTTACTATTTTATATTTTTTTCTAGGCCTCACTCATTTGCCTGTGAGGAAGGACTGTGATGTCTGAAGCTCTGGCTCTATTTCTGACTAACTGTTAACTTACGTTAGCTTTTGTATCTCTACCGTAGGCCCACCCATTGGTCCCACAGCATTGTTATATTCCAGTATTTTCCTTGTAATTTATATATGCAAAAGTGTCAATTCTTTTTTTTAATTATTATAATTTTATTAATTCTCCATTAAAGAAAGGGGTGTTTCGCTGTATACGTTTCCACCAGCATTGGCTGTGATTTCACTTTTGCTGTTGATATCTGTCCCATTTATGGTGTATCGGCATCGCCGCAGAATCCAACGTATTGGGCATCAATTCACGTTACCTGAAGATTTAAAAGGTAAGATTGAATCCGATTTCAGAATTAAGTACCCTATAACAGGCTGTTATATTTTCAATAGGTGCAATATCAGCGAGAAGTATAATTCCTTGTAATATTATGTTTATTTTATTCTATTTTATTTATTTAGTTTGTATGAAATTTTTCATTAGTGTTGATCCAGCAAAATAAAAACCAATAGTACTCACACTACGTTTCGCGAACGATCCGTTCGCTTTTTCAAGTAGACTGGTGATGTTAT